TGTAGGTACCATGGTTTCGATGATGTCGATAAGATGGGTCGTAGGGTAAATCTAATTTGTTTCCAATCTTATTATTCTTATTTTTATTTTATTCTTATTATTCGTATGTTTGTGAGCATTGGAAATATTCAATTCGGGTATTATTATTTATCATCATTTTTATTGTCATTTCTACAATACATGCCGATTCTCTACTGATAAACTAACGTCGGTGAAAACTGGGTACTGGTCAAGTAGAATCAAGCTTTTGGTGAAGAATTGCATAGAGGAAGTGAGAGTGAGGTAGGTTTGTCTTTGGAGGACATCAGTGGATTATTATCTGATATCTATCCTAGTATCCTTCTACTGTCTTTAATTTTTTGGATGGATCGATCTTTGATGGTTTATTGATTGGGTTCTTGGATTGTGTTGTTCGATTATTACTATCGTCGTCTATCACTCACTCACTCACTCACTCACATTTGATATCCATCTATCTTCATAGATACGATTTGTGAAAGTGCACAGAGAGAGAGTCACCAAACCAATCCCTTCATCCCATCTCAATTCAATTCCAACATAAATCAATAACCTCATCTCACCTCACCTCACCACCCAACCTCACAATGGGTTTCTTCCCCAATCGAAAACGTCAAGAAGCACTCCCAGCTCAACAAGCAGGAACCATAGCCCCAGAAGGTCGCACCACAGATAAAAGTTCTGATCGAACATTAACTCCCGGTGACAACTCAAATCATGTCTCGACAGCGGGCGTGGATATCAAGAGAGCTACCAAGGCGAGGAAGAGAGCTATTTATATCACCAGTTTCTTGTATTTGATCGCTGTTATATTCTTAATTCTTGTAAGTTTTGATTTTCTAGACTGTCACTCATTGCCATTGCTATTGCCATTCCCCCCATACCTCAACTCATCTCATTCTTCTCCCTTACCTTCTAAAACTAACACACAAATCTCAGACAATAATTGGCAATATAAACAACCGAGCCGTCATCCGCGATACCTGGTTCTTCCGACTCGACCTCACAAACATCATTCCCGAATCCGTCGGCGGCGGCATCACTCTGCAGAACTCTCTCGCCCGATCCCTCGGCCTCCACGATTTCTACCAAGTCGGCCTCTGGAATTTTTGCGAAGGCTACAACGATGAAGGCATCACCGCTTGCTCCACTCCCCGAAACCTTTACTGGTTCAACCCCGTCGATATCCTCCTCAATGAACTCCTCGCTGGCGCAACCATCGCTCTCCCCGCTGAGATAAACAATATCCTCAGTCTCATCCGTATCGCTAGTCACATCATGTTCGGCTTCTTCATCACCGGTGCCGTCATGAGTTTCTGCAACATCTTCCTCTCTTTCTTCACCATCTACTCGCGTTGGATATCCGGCTTCTACGCCATCTGGACGTTTATCTCTGCGCTTCTCGTCACCACCGCCGCAATTATCGCAACGGTTATGTTTATCATTTTCCGCAATACGGTGACGAGTCAGGCGGGCTTGAATATTGGCGCCAGTGTCGGAACCCAGATGTTTGCATTTATGTGGATCGGTGCGTCGTGTGTGATTATCGCGTGGGTGATTCATGTGGGTATGTGTTGTTGTGGGGCCAGTAGGAGGGATGTAAAGAGTGGGAGGAGGATGGGGAGCAAGAAGGCTTATTCCAGTGGAGTTATGCCTGCCGGGATGGAGGAGAAGAGGGGTGGGAAGAGAACGATTCCGGGGTTTGGGAGGAGGAAGACGGCGGGGGAAGTGGTTTAGTTTAGTGCAGGTTGGTTTACCATGTGATCCCCGGGGGGCCTTTTTCTTTTTCCCGTCTTCTTCGGGGTAAAGATAGATGGAACTTGGAATATCACATCAGATTATAGAGTCAGAGTGGAAGAAAAAGATATGCATAAGTATGCATATGGATCGATGAACATCATCATCATCATCATCATCAACATCAAACTCAGAGCATAAAAATCAAAATTAAAATGCCTCGGAAGTATATATATAGTTATACACATATATATACAAACCCATATAGTTATGAAATCAGGACATCAGGATATGGGGACAAGGCGTTAGTAGATAGATATCGGCGACTGCGGCTGGATAGGTAGCCTTTTGAATTTTTTGTATATAGAAACTTGGGATTTGGGAAATTGGGAAATTGGGGAGGTGTGGGTAGGAGCGGAGAAATTATAACGCGAGTAGTAGGGTTAGTTAGTATTGGTATGACATCGTAGTGTTAGGGTTGGTGGTGAATAGAGAGAATTGAAGAATTGAAGAATAGGATGCCGGAATGGTGTCTTTGTGTGCTGTGTCTTTATATCTTTGTGTACTGTGTATTGTGTATTGTGTGTTACATATATATATTATGGTTCATAAACTTGGGGAATGTGATTCTTCAAGAGATTGGATTCTTTCCTCTTTTCTTCTTTTCGTTTTTTCTTTCTTTCTCTTGCAGCTAGCTAGCTAGCTGGCTGAGGTGAGGTGAGTTGAGATGCTCATTTGGGTTGGTTTGATCGGTATAGCTTATACTGGGTGAGCATTTCTATTGAATCAATGAGGATAGGAAGTATTTCTTGATGAAAGAAAGATTAAGGGCATATGTTTATTGAAGGGTTTGTATATTTCTCTCTCTCATGCATACTTATTCACCAAACATCTACTTCCACTCCACACTCCAAATCTTCTGACCTCTCCAAAACGGCACAACTTCCACCCCCTCTCCCTTAAAACTCGCCCTTACAATCTCCTCTCCATTTCTCAACACGATTCTCTGTCCCTCCCCACTTCCAGCCTCCGCAATCCCATAAAACTTCCTTCCCCTCTTCCCCAAGAATCCCTCCAAAATCTCCCTCGTCACATCCTCCTCCCTCAAAACCCCCATCTCCACCCCCCTCTCCAACGCCGTAATCACATGACCCACCGCATGCGCCTGCGTAAATACTCCCGCGGCCGTCTTTCCCGTTCCGCCCTTCTTCGCGCCGATATCATGGGGTGCGCTATCGGTGCCGAGGAAGAATTTCTCGGAATCCTCGACTGCCGCTACGAGCAACGCGGTACGATCACTGGGTAATTTGGCCACCGGTTTGCAGAAGTGGAAAGCATCGTCGGCCCATTGGTCGATGGTGAGAAAGAGGTGATGAGCGGTGATTGTTCCGACGACGTTGGGACCGCATTGTTTGACGGTTTGGATGGCGGCGGCGGTGGTGCAGTGTTCAAGGACGATTTTGAGGGTGGGGAATTGGCGGTGGAGAGAGAGGAGGGTGGGGAGGAAAGAGGCTTCGGCGTTGAGGATGGTGATGTCTTTTTTGTGGTCAGAGGGACATTCGCCGTGGAGATTGAGAACGAGTCCTTCTTCAGCCATGGCGGCAAAGACGGGGTAGAAGGGTTCGTAGGAGATGACGCCTGAGGAGGAGTTGGTTGTTACGCCTGCGTTTGGTTAGTTTTGTTTTATGTAAATCTATTTTTGAGAAGGGAAATAGATGAGAGTAGGGTGTTGATAGTCCGGACTGGAGGACTGGTAGATTGGATCTAAGTTCTCAATACTTGAAAGCAATACATTATTCAAGGTGAAAGAGGATTTCAAACTCTCCACTCTTTAATTATTGTGTTACCTCCAAAGATTGAAAGCTTCTAATCATCGAACTGCAGTTTGGATTACTAAAAACTTGAATAAAAATACGAACCAGCTGGATAACTTTTAATTCCCACGATTCCCGCTTTCTTAGCCTCTCGAACAGTTTCAGGAGTAATACTCTCGTGTAAATAAAGAGTCATGAGATAATTGACATTGGGCTCAATGGCAAGAAGACGTTCTTTATAGGCCAGAGCTGCAGCTACTGTAGTAACGGGTGGAACGAGATTGGGCATTACATAAACCTATTGTATTATAGATTAGCAACTCAGGGAAGAAATTAAAATAATCTGGACTTTGTGGTCGAGAAGAGAACTTTCGAAATCTGGATGAAACAAAACTCTTTCTAAATAGAAAACCACTTACGGTATCTACTCCTCCCAACTTAATGGTTGGAACAACTGTCTCCATCATCTTTCCATCTCGTAGATGTACGTGAAAATCTGCCGCAGCAGGGAGTTCTAACCCATCGAATTTGGAGAGTGGTGACATTTTTCTGTTCCTTCCCTTTTTCTTTTGATGGAAACTTGAGGATTTGAACGTAGAGTATTTACAGATACTAGGAACTTTCCTAATTCAGGTCTCTTTTCAAACTTCGAGTATGTATGATCTTTTTAATTTGTGCTGTGCTATGTAGAAGCTGGCTGGAATTTAGATTAAAGGTTGCTAATAAATCATGAGGGTCAGTTACAATTTCTGTAGAGAAGAGAAGAGCACTCACGTATCGAAATACTATACCAACAACCTCGAGTTTCCAGAGAATACACGTAAATATTGATCAACACTCTCATAAAAAGCTCAAGAAAAAGATCGCTCGTCGTTGGTGGGATGAATGGTGGGGTGTTTTAAATTTTTGCATCACGTGTAATGAATGTTAGAGATTAGAGGTTTGTACTAATTTTCGGTGGTCGGTTTCGGATTGTGTGTGTGTGTACCAATATTTATTGCATATTGGAGTTTTTGGGTATATGAAGATGATCATGAGGACCCTCACCTAATTCTTAACATTACCCGTTATGTTTAAGATAATCGAGAGTCGAAAAGGACGCCAGCTAGCGGATGAATGGAATTTACCTCCAAACAGTCTATAAAGTCGCAATAAAGAAAAAGATAAAAAATTGTGGTATTTTAATAACAGTATATTTTGTAATTCTTGTGGAATTCAATCATTCACAACTTGTCTACATATCATGATGTAAACATATTCATCTAAAACTACGCATTCTTGACCTCTATGATGACGAAGCGCATAGCAATTAATCCTCATAACGCCCTACCCAAAGCCATGCCTTCTGATGAACACACTTGACAAGTCCCTTTTCGTAATAATAACACACCGAGCTATTTTGGCTCGATTTCTTCATCCTCATCCACATCCTCATCTCTTTCTACCCTTAGACTTGCTCTTCGAAGCCGAAGCTGGTGCTGGACTGGAGGCATTTGAAGCAACGCTTGAAGCTCTTGAAGATGGAGTTGCTGAAGCTGCTTTACTCCCAGCAGTAGACTTAACATTATCAAGTGCCTTGTTCTGAAAAAAGTAGTTAGTAATCATGTACAAGTTGCGGGGAGGTAGATAATCATACCTTAACACCATTCTTCGACTTCTTTTTGGCAGGAGCCATTCCCAAAACACTATCCTCATCATTTTCATCATCTTCAGGTTCCCTCTTGGCTTTGCCATTTGCAGTACCATTCGCAGGTTTAGCTGCAGCCGGTTCATCAAATTCTCTAGCAACTGTTGTCAAAAGTGTTGTACATCTTCTGCTAATTTCGATAGGGGTCCTGCTCAAGAAGAACCAATCAAATCGGAAAAGAGGACTTTCACGAATATCATCACGAATTTTTTCGTGGATACCATCACTATCAACTCCATACTTATCTAGAAGAACAAGCAAGAAACGATCTTCTTCTTCGGTATAGACCTTTTTGTTTGTAGTTGATACTGAGTAGTTAATCTTGAGTTGTTGTAATGGTACTCGGTATTGTTGCATTTTCTTGCGCAGCATCTTTCTTTGATGATCCATCTTTCTGGTTTTTTCCTCACCAGCTTCAATCTGACCGATGTGTTTAGCATAATCAGCGATTTCGGTATATCGTTGCCAGAAGATCTTAGCGTAAGCTTTGATATCCTCCGGTTCCTTGCTGTCCACTTCTTCAGCAATCATATTGAAATCTTTACGGCCATATTTTGCAGAACCGTTGATAAATTGTTGGAAATCTCGACGATTCCAATCAGCGAAACCTTGTTGAGACAGAAGTTGCTTCTCTTCTTGCTCTTCTTCAGTAAGAGGAGTAGCATTGTCAATCTCCAATTGCTCCAAGTTACGTTCAGCCTCACGATCCGAGAGATCTTCATCTGTACCATCTGCTAGAGGAACTTTGTAACCGATTTCTTTGCGATGAAACGCAGTCTCACGGTCTTGTAAATCTCGTAGAGTTGGTGGAAAGAATTGATAGTCATGAACTGTGACTTGTTTAGGCGCTTTGGGTGCTTTAGGTTTTGGATCGGCGACACGACCGCCAGTAGACAAAGCTTGCTTGTAGTATTTGTCCATGGAATAAGATTGTTCCTTGCGTTCACGCTTGGCGGGATTAATCCAAGTCATACCAATATCTTTCTTTTGATTGCTGAAATCTTTACCATCCCATTGATAAGCGGATTCTGATGTGAAGTTCTGAAGGTCGTCGATACCAAGTTTCTCGTAACGGGCATTGAGCTCTGCAGTACGCTTCTCACCATGCTTCAAAATTTCATCAATGTCATCATCGTCAAGTTCTGCACCCTTTTCTGCAAGAGTACCTGTTGGTCCAGTAGTCGCGAAAACCTTTTCGGCTCCATGCTGAATCATGTTCAGCAGATCATCCTTATTAGCAGCTGCCTTAGCAGCGATCTGGGCACGACCTTGTTGAATAACGAGTTGATCTAGACGTAGTTTCTGTGCGGCACGTTCTAGAACCTTTTCTTCAATGGCGTTCTCAGTGACGAATCGATAAACAACAACTTGTTTTGTTTGTCCAATACGATGTGCTCGATCCATAGCCTGCAAATCTGCTTGAGGATTCCAATCGCTGTCGTAGAGGACAACAATATCGGCACTGGTCAAATTGATACCAAGACCACCAGCTCTGGTAGTTAAAAGGAAGACAAATTTCTCGCTGTCTGGCTTGTTGTAATCATCAATAGCTTGAATACGATCCTCATGTGCTGTACCACCATCAATTCGACAATACTTGTATTCACGGAAAACACAGTAATCTTCAAGGATATCTAAAAGTCTGCTCATCTGAGAGAAGATTAGGACTCGACTTCCGGCTTTCTTCATACGAGTAAGAAGTTTGTCCAACATGACCATCTTTCCAGCGTTGAAGACCAAATGCTCATCGGTAGTGTAAGGTGGTCCGGGTTCAGCACCCTCGAAAAGATATGGATGGTTGCAACATTTTCGAAGTTGCATGACAATGTTCAAAAGTCGTGTCTTGGATTCACGTTTTCCACCCGCACCATTGACTGCGTCGATATCCTTCTCCAGAATCTTTTTGTACCATTTGACTTGCATGTCGGACATACCAATGTACAAATTAACCTCCTTTTTGGGCAATAAACTCTTTTCGACATCCGCCTTGACACGACGAAGTAAAAAGGGGCGCAATACGCGATGTAATTGCTGGACAACGGTATCTTGATCTTCTTGTTGGCCAGAAAACCATTGATCAAATGCCTCAGCATCACCGAAAACATCTGGAAGCAAAAAGTTGAGAAGTGCCCAAAGCTCATGCAAGTTGTTTTGCAATGGAGTACCAGTAATCAAAAGTCGATTTCTTGAATTAAATAAACGAATGACTTGAGCGAGGGAGGACTCTTCGTTTTTGATACGGTGCGCCTAGTTTAGTTAGCCACGGATCATTTTCATGGAATAAACAGTCCTACCTCATCAATAATGATATATTCCCACGCAAATTTCTTTAAGTGAGATTTCTCTCGGAGAATCATTTCGTAACTTGTGATACAAACATCGAACTTTTCATCGATAAGTCGCTCGTTAATCAAATTATTACGCTCCTCCTTAGCTCCTTGGAGTACCAAAACATTGACCTCTGGCGTCCATCTAGTAAACTCTCTCTTCCAATTGTCAAGCGTAGATTTCGGGACAACGATGAGATGAGGACCAGTAATATCCATAATGTGCCTCAAATAACCTAAAAATGAGATTGTCTGTAAAGTCTTTCCAAGACCCATCTCATCCGCAAGGATTCCCGAAATACCATTCTCATGGAGAGAAACCAGCCAATTCAATCCGGCGACTTGGTAATCTCTCATTTGTCCTTGAATGAAACCTGGCGATTCGCGAAATACGGTCTCGGCAGACCCTCCAGCCTTTTCGTCTTTTAAGAGCTCCGCATCTTCTTCTGCTTCTGTTCTGCGGCGTCTTTCGTTGGCTGCACCTCCTTTTCTATCCGCACTCTTTTTCTTTTGTTCAGCCTCTTCATTCTGGCGATCAATCTCGTGCATAATTTCCTGAATTCGTGGATTTGGATTTGTTTCGATGAAATGCCTGAACAAATCTGTTAAGCCGAGAAGATATCGAAAACGTCGAATGGAATCATCTTCCTATAATGGAGAGGATAAATCAGCTGTTACTCTTGAAAATTAGTAGAAACCGGTGAAAATACCTTGGATTCACCAAGGCGATCATGTTTTTTGCCAAAAACGCTCCGACGCAATTGAGTAGCTTCTGATCTTCGTTTACGTCCATCTCCTGCATCACCATGAACGCTGCTCTCTGTTGTATTTGGATTGGTATCAGAATCTTCTGTAAAGTCTGGGGTTTCATCGACATCCTAAAGCGCCAGTTAGTATATCATCACTTTAGGTCAATATACATAGAAATAAAGCCTTGACAGCTTTTAGAGAAAATGTGTTGTAGACCAAAACAAAACATACCATAGGGTCAGCATGTTGTTCTTTGAATTCAGAGACATCTGCCATGGACATATCTGTATCGACGCCACTATTGCGTGAAGAACGTGTTGGCGCCATCTTGATATAACTTCAACCCTTTCTAGGGCACTTAATAGTAAGAAGTGTATCACTTATGCGCCGAGAAGGAGAAGTGCTTCACTAGATGGAAAGGTATAAAGAGTTTTGATGATGAATGGATTATTGGAATCAAAAGAGCAATACTGTTTGTTGATTGAGGTTGAGATTGAGATGCAGAAATTAAGAAATTGACCTGAAGTGGAATTTCGCGTTCATTGAATAGAATCTACAGCACAGGCGTGAATGAACGCGGTACTGATCACGGAACACGGATTAACTGCCACGCCGTGGTTCGCAGAGCACAGGCCGAGAAAAAGTCATTGCTCTTTGTCTCTTCAAAAATCAACCGGAACCTCCTCCACTCCACAGCACAGAAACTGTTCGAATCCTTATTAAGGAGTCATACTTATAATTCCAAGTTCTTCTTCTTTATTGAACTTGAATACGAGAGTTGTTTGAGATTATTTCATTTGATCTGATTTCTGCGATCCCTTCACCACGAAAAGGTACGTTGCTAGGCCAAAATCAAGGGTCATTACATTCTATATAATCCTGCGTCTACCCGTGGAACCCATCATCTGACTAATTTCCACCTTTGTTACAGAACTCAGTACAAACTCATTTTCAACAACAATCATGGACTCTATGAGATCTTTGAATACCTCCCTTCCAGGGGGCAAATCACCTTCAAAACAATTGAACAGCGATCCTCCGCAACAAGTTCTTATCGCACAATTCAAAGCTGCCGCTTTATCCGTCACCAATCTCTACAAAACTGCCGCTGCGGACCAAGGAAGAGCTAGGGCTGAAGGTTATCAAGACGCACTGGATGAACTCTTAAGTTTCCTCGATAAAGAAGATATTGGGCTGAGCGATGGCGAGGGTTGGAGGATCCGAAGATGGGCGACCGAGAGATTAGATGGTCGGGACACAGCATCACACAACGACAGCGATGACGAAGTTCTTGAAAAAGGAGATAGGGGATCATCACCAGTAATTCAAAGATCGCAAAGTTCAAGTCATATTTCGGCACCAACTTCTAAACCAACAAGAACTGCTTCTCCAATGAGTGCAGAAACAGCGCCTCCACCTGCGGCCGTTGTGCTGCCCGACCCAGAACCTCCAACGATTACAGCGCTTCCACAAGGCACATTCACTTTCCGATCTTCGCAGCAATATCCACAAGATCCCGATATTTTATTGTCAGACTTAGATTTATCAGATAAGAATCGCCCTCAACCCCATGATAATTTCGGTAATCAGTCAGCGGGTATTTCCCTTACTCGACCCTCACGAACCAACGCAAGACACAGCAATCATTCGTCTCGGTTAAACTCTAGATCTTCGACGACACAGATAAACAGAGGAGCTGGTCAGAAGAGGAAAATAAATTTTGGGGATTTCTTCGATTTAGGAAATTTAGGGCATGGAGACGATTCTTTCGGTGGGGGTGGAAAGAGGGGAAGATTCGTTTGAACGGCCACCACCTTCCCTGCGTGCAGAGTGTACATAGCGATGTATTATACCTTCTATGAGGGGTACAAACCCACATCTTTACATTCGGTGGATTATGGACGATTTGTAACGACCTTGACGATAACATGCCTACACAAGTTCGGGGACTTTGTTCCTAAGCAGCATTTAAATGGGGGTAATGGAGTAGGGGAACAGAAGACCGTGCATTGGAAGGCGTCAATTAGACAGCGAATTTACCTGTCCATGGGGGCAATTAAGGGTCTCTGTGTATAGACTATTTTTCTTTCTTAATCATCAAGTTAAATACCCATCGTTAGTTTTCAAGTTTTTTAATTTAGAGAATTTTCTGCATTTCACATTACGATACGATGAAACATTGGCAGTATCTCGATCAGTGTCGAAAAACTACTGTCTCTTTCCATCAAATGATAAATTTGAGATTCCAAACATCATATTTTAGCAATTCTCCGGTGTTGCATAAGTGTCCGAAATACTCCATATTGTCCAGAAATCCAATATTACAATGATCGTTGCACCTACTGCAGCATTCTTCACGTATCTACGTTTACACTATTCCGCAACGATCGTCATAAACGTCGGGGCGACATAATTTCCAAGACGCATACCATGCCACGGAGAGGATTTCTGGAGCAATGCAACTAAGCTTCTACCTGTCAATCAGTAGCCCATCAATTCTCAATCTTTTTGCTATATATGTGATGTTTCTCAAGTGTTGCTAAAGAGCGATTATCCATACAGATTACCCACATACTTCCACCAGCGTCCCTACTATGAAGCTATTGACTACCCTCTTACTCCTTGGTTCATCAATTGCACATCGGTGGCAGGGCTCTGATGCCTGTGGCTATATAGTTGGTGGCTCTCATGATCATGTCGCAAGAGATGTACGAGAATTGGATTGATCTAATTACATGCAAGCTACTGTTGCTCCGTCATACATAGCCTCTGGGTACTTCCATTTCATCATTCAATTGAGTATATCCAACACTAATGATTAAACAAGTTTGGTGACAATCACTACTGTGGTTCTTAACGAAATCACCTATACGGAAGCCAGCACAAATATAGTGTACGTGACCGCCAGAGACGTGAAACCAGGAGACGTCGTTATAGTCACTGCCACTGGAGACGCCATTACACTCACAACCACGCTAAAAGCAATCACAAGCACAGCTACAGAAATCATCCCGCCATATGCAACGAGTGCTTGTCCGAATCATAGTGCATATGTTGAAGCATGTCAAAGTCATTTAAGCGTGGTGATAGCTACTATCACTATCACAGCTTCTACTTCCTATATAACGGAGTACACTACTGTGAACCTACCAGGAACCTCGTTTGAAAGTTCGATCACTGCACCCGGTTCGAATATTGTGGGAACTATTAGTGCGATTCCTTCTACTGATGTTCAAGGACCAACATCTGGCAGTAGCTCGAGCTCGAGCTCAACTGTAGTGGTTGACTCAACTCCTGTGAACGGTATGTATTCTTATCCCCTGTTTCATTCTCGCGCTGACGTGTTCAGTTACTGCCTCATCCCTCATCCAGTAGCTCGTCATCCGAAATACTTCTTCCGCTCAATCATCCGGAACTTCAATCAACTTATCGACGAAGCCATCGGCCACTACCAAGTTAAATACTGAAGTTTCGACGTCTACTACTACGATCGCTCCCAGTGCTGTTTTATTCAGTCTTACATTCAGTGCTGGCAGTCTATCATCAGGATCTTCTGCTCAGGCGACAGTCCCCCTGAACCCATTTTCTTCTACATTTGGTTCAGACTCGGCTTCATCCCAGAGTACATCAACGACTTTCCTATCAAACTCTCCCACTTCAAGCGCAGGAGGCTCCCTTCCTTCTTCCATTATATTGCCGTCAACATTTTCGACTATTTCGACTTCAAATTCTTTAGTTTCCAGTTTGAATATATCTTATACTACACCTTCATCATCAACTAGCACAGGGTTCTCGATATCCTCTTCAACTACCTCTTCCAGTTCAGTCTCAGCACAATCATCATCTTCAACAACCTCTTTGACATCACTTTCATCCACATTCTCCACCGTTACATCTCAACTCGCTACAGACAGCTCTCTTACCTCTACTTCTTTCCCCATCTCATCCTCATCTCCCGTTCCTCGACCCCCCGTCTCTCCCCTTATCGCCACGTGTAACGCACCATCCGCTTGCCGTCAAAATCAATATTGTTCTTCAGACAATACCTGCTTATGTCGTATGTCTCATCCTCCTTTTCCCTATTCTTTCCCATCATACAAATCCGCTGATACACCCTTCCCCATAGAACCAACCGTAAACGGTACCGGCTACTGCATGGCCGATACCCCCTGCGCTGCCCTCTCCTCCTGCACCATTGACTCGGATTGCGGCATCGGTTCCGCATGCATGAGAACATGTTGTTCTGCCAATAAATGTCTTTCGCTTCAGGGCTTGTGCCAAAATCCTAACATGGCGATTGTTATTTTTAAGAGGGGTGAGGAGGGGAGTCGTGGTCATAGGATGGTTGGAGAAATAGGAGACGGAGAGGAAGAGGAAGAGTGGACTAATAGGGGACCATGGGTTAAGAGGTTAGGAAAAATGTGAGATGGGAGTTTGGTTGATGTTTCTGTGCGGAAAATTAGTCAAGGAGATTTTACATTGGAGTCCGTCTGGCGTTTTGCTTTTAAGTAATACTGTCGCTACCACATTATGAATGATGCGCAAAACAATAGATATCCTTATACTTTAAACTTGATTCCTCACTTGCTCTATGTATTGAACTCAATCTCTGAAGGGAAGTATGGAAATTTCAGAGTTTCATCAACAGAATGCTCAGAACAATCATTCGACCACATCCCTTCTCATCACTGACCAAGCAATCAAGAGAACCCATCGTAAACTCGCAGTTCGTACTAGCCAAACCAACCCCCAGATCTTCCGCACACTACCCAAAGCCCATAGTTTGTACTCTTCAATCAATATCCGAGATACACTCTAGCCTTCATTCAGGTCCTCATCTTTAATGGGCATGGGTTCAAGCAATATTAGTTTGAATGAGTATATCTATGCTGAAAAAACTTCAGAACAACAGCCCTACCAGGAAAAGAGGATAGCTTGCACGGCTTTAAGGTCTCTTATAAGGGATTATCATACCACATAATACGGCCAGAAATGTCTCACAGGAAGCAAAGATCACATTCATCAACGCAAAGCAGGTAATTGCAAAGAAATTAGGGTACTATCCAGTAGGCATCCGGTGCAGAAAAGGCTGCGTGCCCAAAATGTTGTTATCGTCGACCCATATCATCCATCATCCCATTGATTTATAGACGCTTTTCATGACCCTTATCTGATATGTTTACCATAAAAAAATCCTTCCCAATCGTTATCATCATATTTCCCATATCATCCATCCCATTCATTCAATCATCCAAATTATTCAACCCACCCACCAGCCTGCCCATTCATTCATTCCATTACACACCACCAGGGCATATAACTTCTCCATCACCATTGTGTAGATGCAAAACCCGAGAGTAGAAACGAATACGCAGACCATGCTGTTATGATGAAATAGTAGGCAATTTTGTGTAACCAAAGAAGATGAAAATCCCACAAAGAAAAGTGAAGCCAAATGTTATAACCTCAGATATAGTAGCAAGTTTGAAGTATTGTTTATCCCAGGTCTCCGAGTCCATGTATCACAATCAGCACTTCATCTAGTTGGTGAAGCCATTGACCTAAATTTGAGCCATGATCAACCAAATCGTATTTAGTGAGAAAGAGGTATAGCCTAAGGACCCGATGTTGAGGAAAATGAGATATAGAAGTACGAATTTGGAGCAGAAGATGCTGAGGTAGATATCTATATCGTTGGAGCGTAAGTTTTGGCAAGTCAACTTATTGTTGACGACGGTTTTGTTCGTTGCCGTTAGTATAGCCACGAGATCTTCCAGTCCACTGCATGTTGGTGTCTTTATCATGCTCATTTTCATTCTCTGGGACAGGAAGATGATTTCTATTCATTGGGTCACCAGAGGGCGAGTTTGTGAGACGACGTGTGTGAGGAGGACCGATGGGACCGAATGAGCCATTTGAGCTACGACGATCTGCAGTGATAAGATTAGTTCATTGTAATCATGAAAAGATATAAGACGCTAAAAGAAACATACCACGACCATTCGCAACACCTTGAGTTGAGGTCGGGAGGGAGAAAGACGTGCCTTCTTTGCGGCGCCAAGATTGAGACGTACGGGATGTTCCACCAATTGGAGTTGGAGTTGCACAAGGTGCTTCAATTTGAACATTTGTTCCAGTCTGTGGAGAGACAGAAAGACCATGTTGGCGACGATACCAGTTTGGAACTCCATGGTTGAGACCAAGAGAAACTTGTGTGGCCTTATCCATCGGCATCTCGTGCTTGTATTTACAGCCAACTTGAGTGAAAGCGCAAGTGCCTTCATGAACCCACTTATCGCAGTAGATCTTTTCTCGGCGGAATGGACCACCCATAGGAATCATGGAATTGTTTGCTGTAGAAGCACTCGCAGGGGGATTAACAGCCGAGGCAACGATGGAGTCGATCGCCAACTTAAAAGGGAAATCAGTATATATTTTCCATTGACTGCATATCTGGAATGATGATATTCTCTCACCTGAGTTTGATCTCCTGGTCGACGGAAACCACCTTGCTGATTGAGTCCAAAAATTGGTGGGCCAAGCGGTGGAAGCTTTGCTACGACCTTAAAAGAAACTTATGTCAGCACATCACCTGAAGACAAAATGCTCTCAACGTACCTTATTCGGAATCATAGGAGTAGCAAACTCTGGCTTTGGTGAGCCATGTTGAAGCTCTGGAACAATGATGAGTCCTTCTGGACCTTGGTGACGAGGAATACCATTAAGAGCGGGAAGCTCATCAGCTGGAAGAAGTCTTGTGTAAGAGCCATCAGCTCGGCGAATGCCATAAGCAAATGCAGAGCTGATTTGTTCAGGGAGAGGATAGACAGGACCAGGGCGAACCATGGTTAGGGGAGTAAAGCCTTCTGAACCTATGTAGGCCGGGTCGCAGACAGATGGGCGGCGCCAGCCGTTGCCGTTGCTGTTGCCGTTGTTGTTAATATTGCTCATGTTGTTCATGTTGTTCATACCCATATTCTGAATAGGGATTTGGCTGGGCACTGTTCCGTTTCTGCGGATACGTTCCTCACGCTCGCGAGCTGAATGAAAAGGATCCATCTTGTCTGGAGTAAGACTACGGGTACTATCATTATCGATCGAGGTTAGCGGTGAAATCATTTCTGTATCGATCGCATCAACTGCGTCACAACTCTTGTGAGAAGACTCAGGAGAGCTGGAAAGTTTGGATTTAGAGCATGTTTTGACTTGAGTTGACATGTTGAATATTTAATAGAGATTGGAATATCAGAACATGAAGAGGATTTGAAAACTAAAGGTACGAACGGTGTATGTTCGCAAAGTATTGAATTGAGATTGTTGGAGACGACCCTGGAAAATGATTAATCGAATTAGTCAACACCCTTAAGAATAACAACAAGGATAAAGAATGATGTTTGGAACAGACCTCTAATAAGGATTCTTCTAGAGCTTTGATGAAAGCTTCTGATGAAACTTCTCCGTTTGCTCTTCCAAATAAGGTCGGAAGCCTGCGGATAGCTGCACTTGTTTGCGGTAAGCCACAGACCACAATTCTTCTGTTAAAAACAGGGGCAAGCTGCAGGGACAACGGTGAGAAATCAGATAGCTTACCTTACTTCCAAGAAATTTGAAAGATCACTTGAAGACCTATGTAACTGTAAGTTGATGACGAAGGATACTTGTGGAGGAAGAAGTTGCTAGAAATATAAACTGGCACTCTGCAGCAAACGCACATGCTGCTTTGATTAATTTGTCTAAAAGAAAATGATTCAAGAGTTTTCAAGTTTGATGTTTGTTGATACCATTGACAAGGAGCGCAATGTGATACCACGGCAGACATACCAGAATTAATGAGGGGAGGAGTATCACTATACGTACAAATAATGTGATAGAACTGTTGAGCTATCGGTTTGAACCTGTAAATCAACGGGTCTATTGTTTGAATGCAAAAAGGTATGTTGAGGTTTCTGGTTTGTATGTTGCGATCTTGGATTGCGAATTTGAGAAAGTTACAATTTGAGGATGTAACCACAGCAATCAAAACGCAATAAAATTTGTACAGGAAAAAGGGAAGAAGCAAGGCAATTTGCTTTTAGGAAGCTCTATCTATGATAGAAGGAGACAGGAAAGTTCAGAAAAGGAAGTAGCGTGTTGAAAGTACTGAATTATTTCATCTGGAGGTATTTGTAAGGTTGAGAAAGGAAGTAGCCAAGGCTAAAATCAACTCAGGTGTAAGCACTTTAAGAATTGACTGAAACTAGGGCTTAGCACCTGTTTTTTGTTACTGCCAAGGAGCCAGCAGCAATTGTTTCGAGTGAATTTGAGAATTGATCACATGAGGGGGCCGAGGTCTTCCTCAGCCTCTACTCTGTGAAGCGGCATTCCAATCCGACTAATTGAGAGGATCCAAGTCAATATTTGGATGATAATCCTATAGAGTGAACATTTTGTTGCATGTCTTATCTGTGAATTCCATGTTTAGAACGCTTCTTGGGGGTATATCTCTTCCTTGCTTGAAATTCTCTAAAGATATTGAATTCTGCCATTACATGTCGTAATCTAGTGTGGTCAGTCGGAAGAACTTCCTGCATATGCTTGCGCCTTATCAATCTACACACACATATGTGTATATATAATTGAGCAATTTTACTTTGCATAGTCCAAAATGTGTGTCGCATACCTCTTTGAGGTCAACGTCACAGCTGTGATTTACAACTAGTGTCTTTGAAATTGAAGACTTCTTGATTCACTTAACTGCTACCACGAGAAGCTCAAACCCTAGATTCTCCAAGATTTCAACTCTGCCGCTGTTTTTACATAGGCACTTGATGAATTTTAGGTCCGAATCTCCAGGCCACAGGCTCAAGATGGCCACTTTCTTCTTGATAATCATCTGTGGTCGGGATTGCAAATATGGATTCGGCAAAAAGAAGATATAAATCCTTAAAAGCCACACGATCATCATCTTACCGCTATGTCTATATTATTGCGGCCAGACTGTAAATGATTCTCTATAGAAAAGAAAGAATAAGATCCAAAAACGTGCGCACCTCTACATATCTTATCAAGGTGACAGAGGTTAATCTATGTGGACTTGGATGTACTATAAGAAATAAGACGTCTTTAAGAGCCACTAGACCATGAATTATCACCAACACAAGAACTTTTGTTCCATGTCTTCTATCTATGTGGTCCTAAATGATATCATTTGAGGCCGAGCTGAGCTTCATACGGCAACAGTATCACAACTCAAACTTTGGTATATTTCTGAAGTGCATGGAATACAGGACTTTTAAACAGCAAACGAGAGACGCAACGCTGTTGAGTTCAGGACCACTTGGATCTAAGATCATTTTATCCCCTAAAAACCTTCTTGGTTACTTTTATGCGGCTTTCGGTGTAAAGTGTAAAAGATTCTTGGAGAATCACGAGAAGACTCATCTTTTCGTTCTGTAACTGCCAGTTTAGGCTCATATGCCCCGAGGTACAATGCTATTGTCAAGATAAAAATGACCTGGGTGCTGTGAAGTGGCAGTACACTGAGAAGTGCTTGATAGAGCCGCAGACGAGAAACTCTCAAATGACATGAGAGACATGGCGGCTGCAAAAGACAAAATCTCATGAGGTCTTGGGATTGGTAGTTTGATAATCATTCTCGCGCCAACAGTGTCATCAACCCACGAACCAGAATCCAAAGCTGCTGCTGATCGTCACTAGAAAACAACAAACGTACATCCAGTACGCATTTCGGGATTGATTTCTGAGAAAGCGTCCAATTTAGCATGCCTCCCTGCGATCTTCGTTCATCATCTATGAATAGGCTAGTTGTCAATTTCTGGCACAAACTATGATGGTTCAAGACATACGAAAACTTTTCGTAGGCAGGTCTGAATCAGCGGTCTACTTGACTTTGTCAGAACAAGCTTGTGGCTGGTTAGTGCGAGATAATCAGGCGGTGGTTGCTTCTCTAAGTGCAGGAATAAGAGGAAGATTCTCGACTTGCTATATGATGAAGGGGAGGACGCTTCAGGACTTCAGTGTTATTCACTTGATGAAGTCGTTCTGTTGTTCCACTGATGAGTTCTCTGGACCAAAATTCTGTCCCAATCACAGGCGCTGGAGGATATATACCCCAGAGCTTCCATGTCGCGAACAATCGCCGTATGTTAAAGAATGACCTCGCACACCTATGATTCATTGCCATGATATGTAAAGCGCAAGTTATAAAGCGCCCTTTGGGTGGTATCCGCTGGCCATAGGAGTGCAAGTTTCTGAGAGTACCATTATTCACAATCGTGCGCTGTTAGACAGTCATTTCAATGCAAACCAAAATCCTCGTTCAACCAAGAGGGGAAAAGAGGGTGATGGGGCGTATGGTATTATGACACGATTGTTGTCTATTACCACGTGGAATGTTGAGCAGAAGATCGGAGATTTCCGGAATTGCTTCCATTATCTCGTTGAACTTCGGATGGACCTCAGAATGACAGAGGACTTTGATGATATCAGGCAATAAGAACCTCCGGATTTCTACACCGATAGACTGTCGGCACCAATCTAGTTTTCGAACTTCATGAAGCACGGTTTCTGCGGTAGATAGCTGATGCTAAGGCTTCATATCCAACTCTAATTCTCAGATCAAATAGGGGCCTTTGCTTTAACTTCTCATCAAGAGATCCACGTAAATATTTGCAGATACTATGGAGCCCCAGGACTGGTTTGTTGTATCAATCTTGAAGACATTGAGAAAATGGGCATATTGTTGGAGCGCTGGTAAGTTGAGAGTTGATTAGAAAAGTGCTCATCTAGCCATGTAATGAAGACTGGTTCTTGCTCTCGAGTATTGCTGTCGATAGTAGAATGTGAAGCATGGTGCCTCGCCGGCCTGTAAATAGTCCAGACTAAAGTTTCGAATCTTGTAATAGGTATTCGAGACATCCTTGTAGTTTTTCTGCAAGGGAGTTTAAGAGTGATATAGCTGGATCAATTGCCTATCGAATGCTGCCTACCCACTTACCTTGTATATATCCATCTGCGACACAATTGGAGACTGGGGAAAGAATTTTGGCTGTCAGCGGCACAATCGAAGAACTGGTGGGTGAATTCCGTATCGCCGAAACTTTAATTCATGCAGTCGCGGGGGTTGTATCGTAAGATGCTATATCGATTGAGAATGTTCGAAAACTATGAAGTATGCAAGTTAGCGGATTGTTGTCATGAAGTATGTATGCATGGTGATAAAGGGTTCCCGAGCGAGTCTGTGCAACCCTGGATGGCGATGTGCAGGGTTACATGCGCAAACAATTGAGGTGGCTGATTGCATGTCTCGGGTATTACCATCCATGCCGTCCCAGAAAACAGACATGCAACATCAATCATGTGGTTTCAATTGAAACCATGATGGAAATGGAAAAGGACCAACCTTTGGTTGGCGTTGATGTTGGAGAAGGACAGCTGAATGATTGAAGAAGCGAAGACGCTCTGATACCATCTCTTAGCTACCTTCCCAATGAGGAATGCTCTATTTCGGGTAAGGGCTAATTCTCGCAGGAGCAATTTGCATCTTATTGCTATGCAATGGGAATTCAATTTGCCGGAAATGACTTTGAGTTGTGTATTTGGCAGTTAACAATATGATATCCGCCAGCAACTAACCTAGATACATCGATCGTATTTATCCACGACTTTCTTCTTCGGTATCCTAGGCAGGAGAATCTCTTAACCATAAGAATCCTCTTTAATCCCAACGTCTCAAGAATTTGCGGATCATAGGTGGAGAATTTGTCATAGCGGCACAGGAATCTCAGCAGCGGCTTGAGGTTCCAAGGGATGGAAGTTACTGAGACTCGAATGACCGAGTCTGCTCACGACGGACTCATTATCATTGCATCGTATCTTGATCAAAATGCAATTACGTGGGGGAAGTATCAGCCATGGAAAATTTTATGATTGTAAAGCTGAGATTCATTAAATCTCTAAGTAATAGCAAGCAGGTCCACGGGACGAAGGTGAGATGAGGAATGCGTGCAGAAGGCCAAGTATCAAGAGCTATTACTCCCGGAATTGAGAATCCAGGCTTCAAGTGAGCTCTTAGTCCTATCACTTTAGATTCAACTACATGAATACTGCTAATATAATATAAGAAAACACACACAATTCTGCATCTGACAACACAATCTCACAGTCCATTGTTCTTGTATCAACCAATGAGTCTACATGCACGAACAACCATGCGATTCCTTCATTTTTATCATTCTTCTCGATCATTAAGGGGTATATCTGTGCCAATGTCTGAATTTTGTCTGCAGAGTGCAAAAGTCTTCCTTATTTTGCACATCTAGCAGTTCCAACTCCAACCACATTCGACGAGAGACATGATCAAATCCACCACTTTTCAACAATCTATGATCCACTTGCAACACCCTCTCGACCCTAACTTCAAAAATATTGTTGTAATTATTGAGAATGTATGTATCCAATGCAGGGAACTTTCGAGTGGATATGATTTGGCTTTGTTCTTGTTTTCGAAAATGTACCCTTTCTATCTCAACTTTCTCCATCCTTGTACTACTGTGGCATCAGAACTCTTTCTGCAATGAGTGGTACAGCCCCGGTATTTTTTGATAACAGCTTCTTATATTTGTTGTTGCCTTTGAAGTTTTCTGTTTCTGTTGAACGTATTTGATGAGATGCCTGTCCATATGGCCTGGAAGACCTGAACGTCGTAGTTCTTATTCCCGTATTATCGAAGCTCCTGAGGTTGTAGTTTTTTCTGTATTCAGAGTCTTTGTAACTTTTAGCTCCTTCTCATCAAGCCTCTGCATGATATTATTCCGTACCTTGGAAGTCCTTTAGATACCCAGTCCATCTTATCAAAGCTAATGAGGCTACACTTGTTCTGTGGCTAAACCCTTTGTCATTGTTAGCTTTATCCAACTGAATATTTACTGGGAGTTATTGGCTGCCATTGGTTTCTCGTAGTCACTCAATACCGCCATGCCGAAGCTGCTAAGGATGCTAGTGTTTGGTATTCAATCTTGTACAATTGCTTGTCTTGCCTCGCTGATAGTCCGCAGAACTTTCTTTCTTATTTTCGCAGTCTCTTTGAATCGTCCTCACTGTCCTATCGGAGCTTTTCAGACCCTTTATTCTCCAACGTATTACACCTAACTCTCAATAATATGAGCAATTAGTAAATAGCCCTTTGAAAAAATCCGACATGAGTCAAAGAAAACTTCCCTTTTGTTATTTGCCGTCGATCTGTAGCTCTCATTACCAATTGCTTGCTGTTCACTAGCCATTTAACATCACCATAAAACACATAGAAATCCGATCATAAAAGTTGTGTGTGGGAACGCAGATTGGATTGCGAATTAAAGCAAAGCTTTGCCCGCAGGCGCGGAACACATCATTATCCTTCATCCATCCAACGGTAGAGTGCGAGCCAAACCAATATCCTCACTATCTTCTCCCTCTGAAGCTCCACCAGCTCTGCCAGCAGTGGCGTTTTCATTGGCTCTGGCAGCAGCGGTTCCTCCTTCCCTGTCGCTGTCACCACTAACAAAACTAGCACCGCCGCTTTCCAATCTTCCCATCTCATAGTTGTCGGCCTCGTTGGCAAGGCGAGCGTTGTGATAGTCTTCCCATTTCTTGCAGACGTAGTATAGGAGAGACTAAGAAAGCAATAATCAGTAAAAATTGAAATCTAACTGCTCCGAATTTGCGAAAAGCTCTTGAAATTGTCCTGAAAGCATTTGATAATACATATACAAGAAAGCAACCGACAATGAAAAGCGTCAACATAATTCCGGCGACGAATTGGCCCATCTTGAGGAGCTAATGGCGGAAGTTGTAGAATTTTGGTTTTGATTTGTCAATTTCGGGATTTTGAATTGACTCAAAATATTTGTGGTTGTTTTGGCAATTTTCAACAAGCTGACGTCTGTCTACCAAGAAGTTCAACCAATCCTATCCAAACGGTCAAAATAACTGCGCTAACCGCCTTGATATCTGAGCTTCTGTCCCGTCTCTTGTATTTCAAAGTCCTATGAGGCTGTGATAACCTTCCTGAAGTTTTTATTGGCTCTTCAGATTTACATAAGGGCTATCTAGCACATGACACAGGTACCTCGGGAGATATTCATTACATCAAGCTCTTCTGTTGCATATCTGTAAGATTAGTGGGGCTTTCAAAGATGTTAGGTAGCCAGTAAAATTCGTCTAATTTCCAGAAGACTTGGGCTAGCATATTGAATACAGAATAAGTCGGGTCATGACGGAAAGTACCTCTGACTAGCTCATTTAAGAACGCCACTGGAGTTTCAGATGAGCAACATAAAGGCATAGTCACATCTGTTTAACTAGCTGGCCAATTACAAGAGAAGAAAAAAAGAGGCTCTCAATGTTATTTCCCGCATCAAGATCCCGTGTCTGACTAAATCCAACAGAAATAACAAGTATCTCTTAATTGTTGCATGCCTGAGATTTCAGAGTTTGAAATTGGCATTTAGTGATACAATAGCTTGAATAATCAATCTAATTCTAATTTGCGTTGTTAGCTTAATAGGATGCGCCATTAATCTCAATCAGGTTCAAAAAAAATAGAAGCGTCCTTCAAGACCTAGGCTTGTTGATTCTTTGAAAATCGCAAATTACTATCTGAAAATTTTGAAGCATGACGAAACGACTCTAGTAAACTGACGCATCATGAAAAATCAAAAAAATATTTAACAAATCACTTTGCAAATCGTTCATGGGTTGTTGTTTGTTAATAGTTGAACTTTGGTATTGTGAGATTAGTTCATTTGCTTGCTAAATTCTCGGTTATAGCCGAGCGAAACACGGGGTAAAATATGTTTTTCTACTCACAAACCTTGACTCATTGACACAACACAACAAATAATGTTGAAGTTCTTAGGAAATAATGAAGCCAATAAATTATGTAGTTCTACTGTTAGACCAATGCATCTATATATATCGCGTCATCCTGGCTTCACATGGCAATTCTCAACACTTTTATCCTCAACACCCTGGTCCTTGGTTGAAAACCCTTCACAAGTGAATTTATTAACATACTCTTCAATCCAAAGTGGCTTTGGCATATATTATTAGGGTACACTATGCTAGATATCGCATGCCTTTCAATATAAACGTGAATACCCACGGCTCAATTATTCCAAACAACTCGATTGCCACACCACGCTACGGCGATCGCAACACTTTCGAACGTCTAGCCAGTAGATACTGAGCGAGTCACTCAAAAGCTCCAAGAGCAAATCAAATTCGAATTCTTCACCAAGCCCTAGCTGGAGTCCGAGAAGCCAGAGATCTCTGTCGATCGTTAGATGTGCAAGGTGTTAAAACTTTAGTATTGGCAAAGCAGAGATACGAGCCCCTCAAATAAATGAGCTGTGTTTCTTCATTCAAATGCTCAGAGTGGCACAAAACTGCAAATTATAGTCAGTTCTTGAAAAAATCCTCGGACTACGGTAAACTGACACACTACAGCACTGCAGATTTCAGAAAATGTGCGGTCTGTAACCACAGCTATTTCTTTAGCCCCAATCGTTCATATCAATCTCAATATAGGCAACCACTAGTAAAACGGCCGACCCGACCTACCTCACGAGCGATACCTCTATATACACAGACATTTGGAACTCAAATCCCATGTTGGTGGCGTACTCATTGTCTTTATCACTCGATTGACTTCCGCAACGCCACATCAGATTACATATTGGTGACTAGATCAGCTCCTGCGAGACTCGCATTTACTACCCCACATTCTGAACACATCACCGGCTTTCAACAATACCCAGCTCCCGCCCGCACTACATCATAACAAGCTTTGCCAGTACCACCAATCCAACCCATCTCCAGGGGATATGCGTTATATGTGTTATGCCAATATCTCTTCTTCTCAACTGTGACATTCATTGCTCTCTGTGCAGCCTTGACTAGCCCTGAACCAACATATATAGATTCTAGAAAAGGAAGTACAACTCAAATGACTGTATGGAACCAAGAACAAGACAATGCCCTCCGACTCCAACGTCGCAAGTTGTATGAGAACTCAGCAGACTCAACCTGTACAACTCTGCAGAGAGAGTTATTACTCCGCTCAGGCTCCATCAGCTCTACATTCAATGCAAGTCCTTCACATGCAAAGCTATTAACCACAAACAACCCATCTAGATATCAACTAATAAGTAACGGCCATAGACGTACATTGATATGTGTAACCGAACCATGCTATTCCGCCTAGAAACACAACAAGGCTCATGGAATACTGGCTGATTTATAACTATACATCCAACGATCTCAAGACCTTCATAAACTGGTCAACATTAACGTCAAAAATCAATCAATATTTTGCGCAAACCGAGTACAGAAATGCACGCAAATTCACGTCTATTTCCATTCACGAAAAGGCAACAACCTCATGATAGCAAACACTCGGCTTCCTGCAGACTTCCACTCAGAGTACACCGACTCAACGAGAAAAGGAATAACAAGCTTCAACAGACGAATTGGCTACATGGGAAACTTATCTTAACAAGAACCCGACAGTCACAGCTACAGCTAGAGAGAACCATATTAGTTGGTTCACTTCCAGTCTGCCCATCTCAACTGCTACCAGCTTGATGCCGGATCATCTACCAGGGTAGATACTACATGAGGACATATAAACCCACGAGTTGGACACAGTATTCCCGGCATTAACTACATATTTCGATCCTGTGAACCCTCAAACGCATCGAGAGGAGTATCATCTCACACTTACTTTACAAATACTACACATATTTCACGATCTCTCATCGGAAAAAGTCCTACCATCCTACCAAGAGACGAATCTACAATCCCCAAAGCACACGAGCACTTTTCAAACCAACACCCTGGCCTCAATGGAAAACCTCTGATGATTTATTGGCAGCTTCCTTGGACACGAAAAGATAGACCACATTCTTTCAAGCGCCGAATCTCGAAATTGCCATACTCCTGTAGAAACCAAAGCGGAGACTGATGGGTACGAGTCAGCATCACGTACCTCAATCAGACCGACCCTGGAGTCTCGATCGAATGCAAGAAAACTAGCAAAGAAACTAGTAATGCTGGCTCTGCGACTAGTTCCTCGAATACAAAATCGACACATGCGATATAGATTGGGCTTTATGCTAGGTGCCCAGATGCCGAGATGAGCATGAGAAGTCTTGTGGATTGAAAACTTCATGTGCAAGATGCGATAACTGAACAGGCAAGGAACCGCTCATCAGAAATAAGCGATACAATATCACAGAGAGAGATATTCCGGAGCAGGAAAGTCTTCTTAGCCGCCGAAGTTGGAAATGCATCATTCGGAGTATGCAGAGAAGGAGAAGCCGAGAAGATGGAAAAAGTATGAATGACCCGATCGTATATCCTCCTAAGAGAAGAAGATGAAGAATGGGAAGGATCAGAATAGTATCCGGTCAATATCAATCATGAATCACACAACAAGGTGTCTTCTCTGTCAGATAACTAGAAATTCAATCTCCTATTTATTTCGTGTTATCGAGGTGAGTATTAACCCCCCAAACGAGCATATTCTTAACTTGAGCTCATTCACATCAATCATCATATCATACCTGGTACCTCTAGTGATGATGCTAAGTAGTAACATGATCCGTGCTCGTCATTCCAACTATCCCACTCTTTCCTCATACATCAAACGTGAATTTATCACCGAAATTCTCGATTTGAGATTAATCCATAACATTTCTCTTCACGCTTACATCCGCGTCTGGGCTTCTAGCATAGGGTCCCATCGAGGTATTCCATCTTGTATCAAGACACATTCGATTCTCTCTTTGTGGTTTCCGGCACAATAGCATGTTTATATTCCCACTCCAAATGAATTCGGACTCTGGTGTTGTAAATCTAACGATGTAGTTGTGCTGCACAACCTCAATCCTAGAGCAACTTGACCTCAGCGTTCAGAGAAAAGATCTCGTGAAAGAGGACCAAAAATCCTTTCGTAAGTTTACAGTTTACACGTTTTTGAGCGTGCTTCATGTGTGTATGTGTGTGTGTGTGAGAGAGAGAGAGAGAGAGAGAGAGATGAAAGTTTGGAGTTCTTCCTACCTGTCTTACCATATGCATCTCAACCTTGCTTGAACATGGGCGCTTGAACATGGGTGCTTTCACCCCAGGAAATTTTTTAAATCGAAGATGGGGGAGGAGATGATGATGTGAAGCTGTGTGCTTTTTAAAAAGGCTCAATTTTGTTCTGGAAATGCAGGAATGAATGAATGAATGATGGAACTGTGGTGTTTAGAAGGCCATCGTATGCACTACTGTATGATGTATACGGGGTGTCACTCAGCAATCTCAACCGGAAGCAAAAAGATGGATATTTGTAGGAGCACGCGGGCGTGTAGACTATCTGATGATATTCTATGTATCGTATGTGGGCCATACAACCAAAAATATGACTGTGCTCTCGGAACAGATATGTTTGAATATAGCCCCAAGAATTCGTAATAAGAAGCAAAAGCCTCAAGATTGTTATTAAAACCAATTGCAATTAGGAAGAAACGCAATACAATGATTCCTGCAAAGCAACAAAATAACACCTTATACACGCATATAAACCTCTCCTTCTACCTATCAAACTGCCGGCTCGATACATCTTTCTTGTATGATAAGATCTTACAATACAAGATTCAGATTTCACATACAGACTTCCATATGAGCATACTGCAACAAGAGCATTCATTCATCCATCTGCACGATATCAATCTCTCTCACATCCAAATAAAACCACACATGCACAAAACTTAGGAGTACACGTACCGCATACGCCCCGAGCAGCCAAAACACACAAGTACAGAGCATTAAAACGAAACGTCCCGCTCTTTCTCCAACCCACCAAATTTATTTGATTCATGTGGCATTGTAATCATGACTCGTGTACAAACCCCGAGGCCCAAACCCCAAACCCCAGAGTACGTCACCCACACACGACTAACAAGTCACAAAAGAGTCATCTGATATTCCCCAGATTCTGATCTTCATCTCCATCTCCATAGAACCAAGTAGTTAGGCAGACTTGAGGGTTGTACCTCAGCATACACAACTCGCCACCTCTAAGAACCCTCAGATCCCCAGATTCTCCAACCCCCGGATCCCAGAATCTGTAAGATAATTCCCGCCCAAACCTAGCTTCAAATAGACCGGTCTGTTCAGTAAAACAAAAAACCAAAGACACAACATCTCTCTCTCGATTTCCAATCTCCAATATTCTACCTTGATACGATTGAAATATGGGATACACAACACCCTCCTTCACTTACGAATCAACCCCTCCCCCTCTCTCCCCAACCCCCCTTCTCAAAACCCCAAAACTCAATATCAAAACGCCACGTACGAAGCTAATGATTAATTAATTATTAGCATAACGCACAATCTCCACGAGGCCGGATAATGCGGGGTCCGGGGGAAGGAGCGAGCGAGCGAAGTTTTCTTGGCATTAGTTTGTTTTACTCTGCAAGGAAGTATGTAGGAAGTAAGCAAGTAAGCAAGTAAGCAAGTAAGCAAGGAAGCAAGGAAGGAAAGCTGAGAGTTGGCAAGTTAAAGCGGGAAAATAGAGGAGCGGTTACGTACGGGTTTATTTTTTTGTTCCGGGTCCCTGGGTAGATATTTGATGGTGTAAAAGAAGTTATAACTTATGCCATCTACTCGAGGACCTGAATTAGTCATCACAATTTTGGCAATTGAATCATTGAATTGGTGATTTGTAGATATTTTCGCATGTACCATCCATACGTACATACATACATCTGAAACCTGAAACTCACACCTCACATCGCCGTACTCACATCGCCTTACCCACATCGTCTCATCAAACCCACACCTCAAATTTCTCTTGACTCCAAATAAAACACACACCTAATACCTAATACATACATACTTCTCTCTGTCTCGATCACTCTGCCTCAATCACTCTGCCTCAACCACTCTGTCTCAATCACGCTGTCTCAATCACGCTGTCTCAATCCCCCTTTCTCGATCCCCCTTTTAAATCCTCACCCACTCATCGATCCATCTATCGATCCATCCTCTTAGAAAGCACAATGAAATCAAATTAAATCAATAGTCAATTCTATAACCTCTCTCCTTTCTCCTCTCTCCTCTCCTTTCTCCTTTTACCCAAAATGCGGGGAAATCACAACATATGCATCTACAACTGAATAGAGAAGAGGTATAGTGCAGGTACAGACATAGAAAATGATGCAATATGATGTGATGGAATATGATGTCGACCATACCTACCTACCTACTCCATGCATACCTCCCTACAGAAAAATATAAAAATATAAATCAAAAGCTCCCACATCAACATCAACAACCCACATCAGACCCAACAATGAATTCTCTTACACAATCAAAATCTCCTTTGGGATACCGAGCATATATGTCTCATTTACTCCACATCCATCCGCATCCATCTACTCCACACATCCACTGTAGTCTCCACGAGGGAATGATTCCATTCTCTTTCCATTTCCATTCCCACTCCTATTTTCATTCCATCTCCGTCTCTAGAAGATCTAGAAGAACAAAACCACCAGCTGCGTTCATGCAGAAAGGAGTCGGAGTCCTCGAGGAGGAGGAAGCAAAAAAGGAGTAAGAGAATACACAAAGTTAATTACCTGCCTACCGAGTAATGAGACCCAATATCCGGGAGCGGGGGAGGGAGTTGTGGTGTAAGACTGCAAGTAAGTGTAGAAATAAGTGTCTTGGTTTTATCTTAGTCATACATACTTACACTAGTGTTTTGATGATGATGGTGCTGTGCCAAGCGGGGTAACCTCATAAGTCATGTTATGCACAGGCGGGAGTGGAGTTTGTTGATTGATTGGTACTAGGTCGGGAACCTTGATGGCCGACCGGCTTTGCCTTTTCAAAGATGCGTTGGAGAGTTTGAATGGTGATTGTAAAGATGGAGATGGAGATGGAGATTTGATTGATTAATCGAATTTTATTGTATTGTGTTGTGTTCATTGTATTGTATTCATTGTATGTAATAACATCTTCACAATCAAGAAATATCCTCATAACCTGACTACCTAATCCATCTGTCTGTCCCCTTCGCACATCCTTCCTTCCCCTGTCTCCCCAAACATAGAAAAACCCGGGGTATCATAAAGTTACAGGTAGGTACTTTGGGTGATAACATACATGCAGCGCCAATCGCTCATCCAAAAACAGAAATGAGAAGAAAAATAAAAATGTAAATAAGATCAATTAACTTTTTGGTGTCCCCCGTTTCCTTTCCTTGCCTTCCCGTCCCTTTCCTGCCCATTTGCCATTTGCCATTTGTTGACTTGTTGATTTGTTTCCCCTTCCCCATTGGTTGCGCCGTTGGTGTTGAATGCGAAGAGAAGAGATGAGATGAGTTGTTGAGGTGTGTATTAGGAGGAGTGAAGTGGTAATGTAATGTTGAAAACGCCATCAAAATGCTTTTATATGTTGAAACGCGGAGGTTTGCCTGTCTGCCTGCCCAGATAGGTAAAGCAATGCAATGCAGTACAGCGCCGAAGGAAAAAAAAAATCATAGGTATCGTAATGCAAATGCATGCAGAATACTCAAAGTCTCAAGACATCTTTCTCCAAGAGAAAAGAGAGAAACCTCTCAACTCCTACGCCGTTCTCGTCGAATTTCTCGAAGTCCAGCGCTCGAGAAATCCTCCACTCCGCGCACTTCGAATGCTCCCATTGCTATCCTCGGAGCTGGTCGAGCTCTTGCGTTCGCTGGCTGGTCGTCCGCTGGTATAGTTTCCGGCGCCGCCTCGTCCAACGTGCCACATGCCTCCTTCGCTCATCTTCTTTTCGCGGGTGCTCTGACGTTCGAGTTCTTCGTCGAAGGAGAAAGGTGCTTTTTTGGAGGTGGGGAGAATGTTGCCGGCGCCGCCACGGCCGCTGCTGAATTTAGATGAGGTTTGGGGAAGACCGAGGGTGAAGAGGGAGGCGGGGCCTCGGGCGTTGCTGCCGTTGGTGGTCTTGGGGGCTTTGAATGTGTTTCCTGCTCCGCCGCGGCCGGAATGGATGAACGAGGATGTGGCGACGTGAGGGTGAGGTTCGGTGACTTGGTATCGGGTTGTCATGATTGTGGTTTGTTGGTTGATTGTTTGGTTATTGAGGATGTAGATGTAGGGTTGGTGGTTGATTGAAGGGTGTTTGAACGTGTTCAAAGGTTATGAGGATCAAAAAGTGAGGTAGTGAGAGTGATGTGATGTAGAAGTAGTTTATGGTTGAGTGTGGTAAGGTTAAATGTCTGGGTTGTAAAGTGAATCGATGATGAAACTATAGTAGCTTTCTAATTGTATGAGTGCGTAGTAGTAATAGCAGTAGTTTGATATTGATCTGATGTATTTGAGTAGTAGTAGGTAAACGCAAAGGAATGTGGGCCAACGTTTTCTTATATCCTTTTTCTTTTAATCCTTTTATTATCACGCCTCACTTTGTATATAGAATACATGGTGCAGGTGACTCTTTTTCGCAATACGAGTCATCCAACTAAAAATAAATAAAAAGTTTTTTTCTTTCATTATTTCCTTGTTCAAGAATGTCTTCGTTCAAATTTTCCAACGCATTTCGCACTCTAAATTTCTCACGATGTTTGACACTTTGCAGTTAGAGGTAACCGCTCTCCGCTTTGCCGTGAACTAAACAAAGTGGCATGGATAGCATCAACCTTGGGAAGTCATTTTCCACACAATTACTCGCACGTACCAACTTCCTACCAACCAATTTGAAGCAAAGTTGCCAAAGTTACCAAAGTTCTCGCACTCGTGATGAATTTTGTGGTTACCATTACGAAATCACTGAACGCTAGATCCTTCTATTTCCATTCGCTTAAGGAGAAAATGCTCGAAAATGATCATTTTTAGCCTCTTCCTTGTCCATCCTTGTTCGTATGATCCTGGGCCTCCTGGTCTTGTCCCTGGCCTCTGAGCAAACCTGGGGGTAATTGAAATTCGGATATCCAGTCGATCTTGCAACATCGCGAGAGACTATAGGGATAGTTCCAATTTCGTCAGCAATTTCGCATCAGATCTCTCATCTCATGCGTGCCAACTTGCCAAGTCGATGAATTGAGAAGAAAAGTTACGCTTGGGACAAGGTACTAAATGGCCATGTGGTGTGTGTGGTACGGTGAGAGATTTCCTCGAGTGTCACTGAGTGTCAAAGAGAGTGGCACCATGTATGGAGGAGATGAGTTGATTTGTTTCTTATGCGTTTTGTAATTGTTGATCTACGACCTAGTAATGATCTACTGTACGTATCAATTTGGGCCATGAAAAACGTGCTTCATGTTATGGAAAACATCATTTCAGAAGGAATCATTGAATTGCCATGTCAACTATTGATAATACATATATCGCCATATATCGCCATCATCTTTCCAGATCGCATCAAATTTTCTACACATGTAAGCTTACCTATGTATGTCCTCATCGACTGCAGGTGAGTCGTACTCGGGTAACCTCACACCTAACCTAGACTATGAAAGAGCCTCGTCTTACCGCCAATTAGCTTATTTACCTGTCTGTACCTGTGTACCTAGGTAGTTATCCAATTCAAAATTCTCCGCCCGGCTTTAGATTTTCAGGTACCGTACCATGAAAACCCAAAATGGTGTGCTGACAACTGCTTACGACAAGGGCAATATTCCGTAGTGATGGCGAGATGGCGAAATGGCGAAATGGCGAAATGTCTCAATGTCTCAATGTCTCAATGGCTCTGCGGACTGTCATTTTAATGCCATCATTTAATAGAAATGAACCAATGAGACCATTGTATTCAAAGACATTCTCTCTTCTGTCTCTTTTTTCCTTGAATGTCTTTCCAAATAAACATTTCCCAACTCCAAAGCTCCATAGAATTTAGAGTCAGAACTGAAAAGAGATTTTCTAGTGATGTCAACACACTGAAAACTTTTAATTCATTCCCCACAACTTCACAAGCTCACCCCTTACCAATGTAGAAGCAACAGGGCTGAAGAACACCGCTTCATTATTCTTCCCTTGTTTTCCCCCGCAAAATCTTAACGCCCATGAAAGAAATTTTCATTAGATCCACACATGTGCATTAGACAACATTGACAGCGATCAGGAGTTGAAACGCAAGATGGAGCAACTGATGGTCGAGACTCTTGCTTCTCAATCAATAGTCATCTGCCAACCGTTTCTAGCATTGCATGAATTTGCATCTTGGAGGAAAAAAATGACTCCATCGTGAACTCGGGCTTCAAAGCCGGAATGCCGAGGTTTGAAATTGTTGAATAGGAGACCGAGAGCGAAGATAAAGTTTAAACGCGTACATTCATTCCACTTTGTTCGCTCAAATTCGCCTTGTCCATAATTTCATGAAACCGAGGCTACCCGTTACAGCCATTGACAGCTCATATGACCTTGCAATAAACAAATGTAAAAATTCGAGAGATCCTAGAGGATACATTCAATGCTTCATCGGTTCGGTGCGGCGCGGCGCCCACGCGAATCAATTGACTTCGTGGTCTGATCGGCGAACAGCCAAATATAATTGATTTGACTTTTCACCAAAAATAGAAGGCGCTTCGTCGGCTGACAAAATCGCACACTCAAATTACATACTAGAAGCATCTCAGTCTGAAGAGCCACTTGTCAAATCTGAATGAGATTATTGAAAGGAGACAGAGCGTAGGTAGGTATGTCAATTCCGATTTGGATACACGAATTTCTTGGTCCATCGTATGGGTGGATAATCATTACGATCATGTTTGAAGTCTTGAAACGACGGTTTGATCTTTCATCCCATCTTTCTGTCTGTATTCAAAGTCAATCATCCGTGAAGACAAACGCCCACTCATGTATCCTTCTCTTGAAGTTTAGTATTGGAATCACCTATTATCGGGTTTTAATAGAGTTCGTGAGCATGCATGTATGTATATATTACTTCCACTTTCTGTGTGTTTGGTGATGACCTCAAGGAAATGGAATTGTATAAAGCGAGTTTCTATTTTTATCTGTACTCATCAGTCTCAGCAATGATTCGATAGGCACAAGTTTGGGGAGACGATGAAGAAAGGGAATGAGCAGTAATTGCATACCTACTAGGTAGGTACTTAATTGTATACTTAGCGTGATGATAATTTTGGATTTTGGGAAGGAGTCCCAACGCTAAGTGGTGGCCTTTGCTTGGAACATCAGGTTTGAGCACATCTTCAACTTCATTCTTCATCGCGCGAATTATCAAAGCAAATGTGATTTCTATTTCATCCTCGTCGAACTCCAATCAGGGTGATGTCGTTGAATCTTGATCACACAAGACTTCTATTCCATCATCATCAAACTTAAATCGGGGGTACGTCGATGCAGAAAACTATCGTAACCAAGTTACCACACCCGCGGCCAATATCCCGAAGGATGAGAAACCATATTAGCATTCTATCCATCATGTGATTCGGTATTTCAATGTACAAGATGTATGATGGAAACAGTTCTAATCATCACACGCCTTCTCTCAATAGAGCCTCATTGCTCTTGTTCAGTCTTGTGAGTCACAAGTTGTGACGCACAACGTTTGATCGCAAATGTCGCAACATGGAGTTGCCAATCTGTTTGTTTCTCTACTGTATATACATACTTCGCCACCGACGACAAAGCGAAAGAAACACACAGCTCCTGAATGTTTAGGGAAGCACAATTGTTGGCTTAGTAGGGGTAAAAATGGCTTGTCCCAATACTTACTCCTCATCAACCAGGTGATATGAATATGCTGAGAGAGTATGACGAAAGGGTTTCAAGGCTGAAGATCATTAGAAGTGTAGGTTGTCTTCAAGAGCGAACAAGTCAATACCGCACTTTACAACATTCTCGAGACCCGAACCCAAAATATCACTCTTCCGCTCATGGAGGACGAAGATCAGGACATTATTGCAATCGGGCATTCCTTCACCAAGTAGAATCTCATTCATACATACTAGTTAGGTATGCCGACAGTCACATGCAGACGTATTCCCTTCAATCGAACCATATTCTTTCATCAGCCAATCCTATGATAGTCTTCATCGGGACCCTGCAATCATGATATTCTTTAATGTGGTGCAACAGGATCAGTGGAAAACGCGTGACTGTGGTGTGGTATCACGTTGAGACTTAGTGGCTTATACCCTTCTTGTTTTACCTACCTGGTAGTGATTGTTACTTTCTATCTCCGTTGACGAATCTGGACACCGGAAACTACAGAGAATTATAAAAGGGGGCTTATGATGTACCTGATCTCCTTCACTCACATATTCTTGTCATATAGCACGACTTACATGGACGTGCTGCGGAATTTTTTCGGCTATTCATATCGATGAGATGAATCAATTGTACCGGGCATATGCAAAGTATATCTCCATGACCATGTCACAACTATGCAGAAAAAATCGTTCCATTTTGGTGGCAAGAAGATAGCAACAAACGATATCACAATCCCGAAGTTCATATAGTACACGAGAAAAGCGGGAAAGAAGGAAATGTTACCCGCCCCGGATAATGGATCAACTGAATCGCTTGACCTTCGTCTCCCATATCAATCATTACATTTCCTTGGGAATATTATCAGTCGGATAGCCGGTTCCATAACATCGGAGCATTGTATTGACAAGTTGCATGCATCTACAGCTGCTAATACTATGTCGCACTACTTAATCGTTCTGGCTGTATATCGAGATTTTGTGTTTTCTGTCACTTTCTGAGATGGGATTTCTATGGTAAGCTTGCCAATTGAGGTGCTCCATCGCTTTTCATTGGGGACCAAACAAATGAACCAAGGAGACAAATAGCATATCGATAGTGGTTCACCAGAAGAGGGTGTGAGGATGCTGGCACCAATGAAAAAAAGATGCAGTTTTCATTGGCTGATTCGGATATGCTGTGCAAGCATTTTCTTAGTGAGGTTATTGGCATCACAAACATGCGCCAGTGTTTGGTGATGATTTTCACTCAACGCGGAAGATACCAATGGTTAATTGACCCTTGGTCGCAGTACGATATTTACTCACACGCGTTTGCGCTATTGCCACCAAGTATGTCGTGCCCCCCTGTGGCGTATTTAATACTCACTGGAAGCGAGA